TGAATGAAGAAGTCAGGAGAAAAGAGCAGAGTATTGAGACTGAGTCGCAGGCTTTGGCGATAGAAAAGTCAAACAGAAGAGGGAGAAGTAAAAGTAGAGGGCCATGTGATCGGAATGACAAGTCCAGGGGACGGTCTAAATCCAAGAAAGATATTGTGTGCTACCATTGTCAAGGGAGAGGGCACATTAAGAAAGAGTGCAGAGTTCTCAAGAGAGAATTAGCAGCGAGAAAAGGTAAAGATAAGAAAGATGAATCAAGTGATGATGACACTACTATAGTAGTAACTACCAATGATGTATTTGTGTACTGTGATGATGATACAATTAATATTGCGAGTCACGACAGTGATTGGTTTGGTGATTCGGATGTGTCTTACCATGTGAAGCCTCACAGGCACTTCTTCACCTCTTACACACTTGGAGATTTTGGTCGTGTAAGAATGGGCAACCAAGCCTCATGCGATGTTGTCGGCATGGGAGAGATATCATTGGTAACGAATACAAGTTGTACTCTTGTCTTGAACAATGTCAGACATATTCTGGATATGCGTCTGAACCTTATTTTTGTTGGTAAACTTGATGATAAGGGTTACCATAGCATTGAAGGTGGTGGCCATTGGACAATTACCAGAGGGAATCTTGTTATTGCTAGAGGAAAGAAGTTGAACTCTTTGTATGTATTAAATGCAAAGTTGAAGAATGGAGAGGTGAATGCAACTCACAACGCCTCCATTGATCTCTAGCACAAAAGGCTTGGACACATAAGTGTCAAGGGGCTGTAGATTCTTGGTAAGAAGCAATTTCTCTATGAGGTGAAAGGTACTACTCTAGAACCTTGTGTTGACTGTATCTATGGTAAACAACATAGGGTTTCCTTTCAAAATTATCCTCCATCTAGAAAGTCCAGTCCTCTAGAGTTAGTTCATACAAATATATGTTACATGAAAGATAGGTCGTTGGGTGGTGCATTGTATGTTGTTACTTTCATTGATGACTATTCTCGAAAAGTTTTGTGTTTTTCTTTAAAATCTAAAGATGAGGTATTAGATGTGTTCAAAGACTTTCACCTTAAAGTTGAAAGAGAGACTGGCAAGAAGTTGAAGTGTGTTCGAGCAGATAATGGTGGTGAATACAGGGGTCTGTTTGAGAAGTATTGCCGAGACTATGGCATTAAACTTTAGAAGAGTGTTTCAAAGACTCCGTAGCAGAATGGCGTGGTAGAAAGAATGAACAGAACTATTACCGAAAAGGTTAGGTGTATGCTACGAGTGGAAAGCTGCCTAAATCTTTTTGGGGTGAAGCCATGCAGACAGCAGTTGATTTGATCAACCTATCTCCCTCAGTTCCGTTGGATGGTGATCTACCACAACGAGTTTGGACATGGAAAGATGTCTCATTTAGACATTTGTAAGTTTTGGTTGTCGTGCCTTTGTTCATATTCCAAAGACGAAAGGCCGAAGCTTGATGGCAAATCCAAGCAGTGTGTATTCTTGGGGCATGGCAATGATGATATTGGATACAGACTTTGGGATCCTGTAGAGAATAAAGTTTTCAAAAGAAGAGATGTGATCTTCTTTGAATACCAGACCATTAATGATATGGGAAAATGTGAGATGCTAGAATCTTCACCTGCGATTCCTGTTGATCTAGATCCAGTTTATCCCCATTCAAATGATTCTCCTGAAGGGAGAGCTGAGATAGAGAAGGATGGTGAGTTTGATGATCATGTTACTGAGATAAAGACACCACCGGTTTCATCACCTCTTGTTCAGCCTAGGAGGTCCACCAGGGACAAGAGACCTTCGACCAGGTACAGTACTCATGAGTATTTATTGTTTACTGATAGGGGAGAGCCAAAATCGTATGAAGAGGTTCTTAGTCATGAGCAGAAAGATCAGTGTTTAGTAGCCATGCAAGGGGAGATCAAATCCTTGCATGAGCATAACACGTATGACCTGGTGAAGACCTACGGGCAAGAGAGCACTCCAGAATAAATGGGTGTTAAGGCTGAAAAACAAATGAGAACAACTCACAACCAAGGTACAATAGGTAGATTGGTTGTGAAGGGATTCAATCAGAGAAAAAGCGTAGACTTTGATGAGATATTTTCTCCTGTTGTAAAGATGTCTTCGATCCGAGTTGTACTTGGGAAGCGGCCAGCTTGAATCTTGAGATCGAATAGCTTGATGTGAAGATAACCTTCCTGCATGGTGATTTGGACGAAGAGATTTACATGGAGCAACCAGATCGGTAACAGGAGAAAGGAAAAGAGAAGCTTGTATGTCGTCTCAACAAAAACTTGTATGGGTTGAAGCAAGCTCCGAGGCAATGATACAAGAAGTTTGATGCCTTCATGATAGGGCATGGATATCAAAGGACTACAGCTGATCACTATGTATTTGTGAAGAAATTCTCTGATGGTGATTTTATAATTCTTTTGCTTTATGTCGATAACATGTTAATTGTTGGTCATGATACTGCAAAGATTGACAGGTTGAAAAAGGAGTTGAATAAGTCCTTTGCGATGAAGGATTTGGGTCTGACTAGACTAATCCTTGGGATGAAGATTTCTCGTGACAGACAGAATGGGAAGCTTTGGGTGTCTCAAGAGAGGAATATCGAGAAGGTTCTTGATAGGTTTAACATGAACGGTGCTAAGGAAGTCTCGACTCAAGGGCATTTTAAGCTAAGCAGAACGCAGTGTCTTAAAAGTGAGAAAGATAAGGAAGAGATGGAAAAGATTCTTTATGCTTTGGCAGTTGGCAGCCTCATGTATGCGATGGTTTGCACAAGGCTAGACATAGCTCGTGCAGTTGGTGTTGTTAGTCGGTTTCTCTTTAATCCTAGAAAGGAGCATTGGAATGATGTGAATGGGATTCTTAGGTATCTTAGGGGTACTTCCAGATTGAGTCTTTGCTTTGGCAATGGAAAGACCATGTTAGATAGATATACAGATGCTGACATGGCGGATGACCTTGATGGTCGAAAGTCTACTTCTGGTTACTTGATGAATTATGGAGGGGGGCCAGTTTCATGGTAGAGTAGGTTGCAAAACTGTGTTGCTTTGTCTACTACAGAGGCAGAGTTTATCACAGCTATTGAATCTTGTAAGGAAGCACTTTGGTTACAGAAATTTCTACAAGAGTTTGGCATGAAGCAAGAGAGATATGTGGTTTACTGTGATAGCCATATCGCTATTCACTTAGTAAAGCATTCCACATTTCATTCGCGGTCGAAACATATTGATGTGAGATATCATTGGATTTGGGATGTGTTAGAGTCGAAGGCGTTGTTTCTTGAGAAGCTCCATACGGATGACAACAGTGGCGATATGTTGACGAAAACTGTGAGTAGATACAAACTCCTGTTTTATAGGCAGGAAGTGGGTTTGGTTTTACCCCCCAATTGAGGTGAAGGGGAGATTGTTGGGCTGGTTTCCTCTCAACTGGGCCCAGCATGACTTGAAACCAAAAACCGATATGCTCTTGGTTTTTTGGTTTGACCGAAGAAGTCCAAAACCCACTGAAATTGGGTTTTGTTTTTGATTGCTTATAAAGGCAATGTGGCCGTGTGTTTTTAGCCATGAGAGACGAGCAAAAATTTGGGCAGCCGCACTAGTTTTGTGTGAGAGAAAAAGAGAAAAAAAAAAGGGTTTTTGGTCTTTAATTTGAGGGAAGAAAGTGTTTCACTTTGAGGCTTTGATCGGGTACCGAAACAGAGTCAGTTTTTAGTGCAAGTTTGCACATTTGTTCCTCTCAACAAGATCTACAATTTCTCCAATTTTGAACTCTCGTTTTGGTGAGATCCTTCCAGTCCTACTTTGTTTAGGTGTGTGTGCAAGAGTATTGTTGTAATCCACCTTTGGGTGAAGTCCTGTGTATCCACCGGTCGGTGAAGACTGTTTTCCCATTATTGTGATAGCGGAGATTTGACTGTTGTTACAGTCCCGTATTTTTTTTCGATTTGGATTTTTTACGTAAATCTGTGTATCTACTTTACTTTATCAGTTCGTGAATAATTTGCTTGTTTGGTTGGCTTGGTTGGTTGTCCTATTTTATTGGTAATAGGAAATGAGTTTTTCTTGAGGGTTCGTTTTCACTGGATTGTTGTGTTTATACCCTTTCCGCCACAATATTAATAACCTTCCGGCAAATGATCCAGAGCCTTTAGTGGTTCATTGCAAGAGAGCCGACGATGATCATGGGCATAAGCTGTTGAAACCTAACCAAGTACTCCAATGGTGAACTAAATGGATTGGGTTTCCGGAGCTATCTGGTTATTCTTACTATTTCAAGTGGCACCACAAAAACACAACCTTTTGTGCCTTGAGTACCCCTTATCTCTTCCATAACTGTGGCTCTAGTCAGGATGTTGACGTGTGTTATTGGTCAGTTCAAAACGAGGGTTTCTATATTGCAAATGTTACTTCCCCTCCTAAAGAGGCACTAATCCAAGAGGTATGGTGGTAGTTAAAATAACTTGTAATTGGTTTGCTTTGATTAATTGGTCCCTGGATCAGCAGTCATGCATCGGTATAATGGCTTTAGTTTGTAATAATGGTTCATCTGAATAAGAGTTTTTTTTTCCTTTTAGTTTGTAGTATTTTATTTTGGAACCAAAAATGAAATGGCGAGTAGAACTACATATAATTAATCCCACTTGAAAATTTTAAGACAAATCCAACACATTTTCAATTTTCCATGAATGAATTAATAAATGGTGTCATCCAAACGTTGGGGCCAAAAAACATGAAATTACCCTTTGTAGAAAATGGTTTGACTCAATTTGAAACCACACATATGCATGTAACCTTAAATGGTGAGGCGTTGATATAAAAAGTCTGTGTGGATGTCTCGCACCATTTTTTAATTCCACTTTCAAAAATTCACAAATGGCAGATTATTTTAATTAATGATACACAAAATTGGAGATTACCGTAATGGAGAAATCACATCTATATATGGACTTTGTTTACATGATGGAACAAGAACTTGCAAAAAGAAACACACAATATACTCCTATCCAAATTGTCCATTATAAAATATGAGTAGAAGAAGTGTAATGTATTTGACGAAAACTTATCGAAAGATATTGGGCAATATCATGAGTTCCTTTAGCCCCATCGGAATATTCATGATTATCATATTCCTTTCACTCTTTTCATCTTATTACAGCCAAGTTATCAATAATACTCCTACTACTACCACCAATATTAACGATTGCCTCCCTAATAACAACGATAATCCTGAATATCTATATCGGATATACGTGTCGGATGATCTTCCAGCAAATGATCCCGAGATTTTATTGGCTCATTGCTCTAGACCCAATCAAGATATTGGGGAGAGAATGATGAAAGCTACTGAGTATTTTGACTGGGCAACTGTATGGAAAGATTTTCCGAGGGAGGATGAATTCTCGTGCTATTTCAGGTGGCACAGTAAAAAGATAACCATTTCCGCCTTCAACCCTCACTTCGCCGTTGACGGCTTCTGTGGTTCCGGACAGGAAGTTAACATTTGTTATTGGTCGGTGAGAATTGATGGTTTCTACATTGCAAATGTGTCTTCGCCTCCTGAACAGGTCTTCAAAAAAGTGATTTCTTGGTGATTCAATCAATTAATCGTGTCGTACGTTTTAATTTGATTTTGTTGAGATTTAATTCGAAGGGAGGATATTTTGATAATATATCTAAATTGATAGGCGCGGGCAAAAGTTAAAGATACTTAATTAAGGCATGATCTCATATATTCTCCAATCACACAATCATCGTCTTATTACTAGTGCCAACTGAAATTTGTACTCTCCCGTCGTCTTCTTATTTATAAAGCCAAGTTCAAACTAAATATTACATGACTTAATTTATATGATGATTGAGGGGATCAGTCAAATAACGCCTTATTTTGGATTTTGGTTAATCAAATTAAGATCATAAAATTTCAATCATTTTCAAATGGGCATGTTTATTTAGGGTTCAAAAATTTTCTCAAGATTCTTAATCTTCTTCAACTAATCAATATTCTCACTCTCACCAGTCTCTCCTAATCTTCTCAATCACTAAATCGACTTTAATCTTTCTCAACTTCTCTATCACCTGAATTCCCAAACATGTAAGAGAGCTCTGAAAACGTTAAGTCGCCCATGAGAATCCTTTTTTTTTTTTTTAACAATTAGTTTGACACTTGGCAAAAACATGATAATTTTTTCTATAGGCATTGGTAACATTCTTCTTTTTTTCTTTTTTTTTGTAATAAACCGAAAAAAAACACACCTCTTGCAAACATGACCTTAGTGAAACACGTCATGTTTTAGGAGTTTATTTAAAAATTAGTTTAAAGTTAAGGAGTCACCTTGTAAATTTGATTAAAAATAGTGTATGGATCATAATTTTATGAAATGAATTCCTCTGTTCTTATTTGATTTCTCCCCTCAAATTTATGATTCCTTCTTGTTCTTCCCTTTCTAACCCTAAAAATTCTCTGAAATCTGAACTCTATTTGGATTACCAAATCTCCGTTCCTGGTAATAAACCGTAACTGGTGAGGGGTTGATATAAAAAGTCTGTGTGTGTGGCTGTTTCGTACCATTTTTTGCACTATGAAACTTCACAACTGGCAGACTATTTAATTCATTGGACTAAAAAAAAAGTGGAGATTACCGTAATACGAAGTAACATCTTTGCAATTAATGAACTAATGGACTTTATTCAAACAGGAGCAAAAACTTGTAAAAAAGAAACACACAGTATGCTCAAATTCAAAGTGTGCCTTATAAATATGATTAGAAGAAGCGTAATGCATCTAAACAAAATTTAACCATTTTTGCACGCAGGTTATAAACAAACTAAAATCGTCAAAACACATCAAAAGATTAGGCGAGATGGGTTCTTTTAACCCCGTCGGATTGATGATCATCATCTTGTTTTCACTCTTTTCATCTTATTACAGCCAAGCTAATAATAGCCCTACGACCACCAACAATATTAATGATCACCACCCTAATAACAACGATCTTGAATATCTCTATCGAATATACGTCTCGGATGATCTTCCAGCAAATGATCCAGAGAGTTTAGTGGCTCATTGTGCAAGACCTAATCAAGATGTTGGGGAGAAATTTATGAAAGCCACCGACATATTTGACTGGTCAACTATATGCAAAATGTATACAGAGGAGCCGGAATTCTCGTGTTATTTTAGGTGGCACGGTAAAGAGATAACCATTCCCGGCTTCAACGCTCACCTTGCCTTTGACGGTTTTTGTGGTTCCGGACAGGAAGTTAACATTTGTTATTGGTCGGTGAGAGCAGATGGTATGTACCTAGCGAATGTGACTTCACCTCCAGAACAGTTCTTCCAGAAACTGAACCCTTGGTGATTCAATCAATCTTACGTTTGAATGTGGTTTCGTAAGATTAATTTGGAGGGAGGATATATTGATAATGTCTTAATTGATAGGTCCTTATAGGGAGGACAAAATTTAAGCTACTTCATTACTTCTCCTAGGTTTATGTTTACCAAACATATCACTTCACTACTTAATGGAAAATGATGTGCACTCATATATATGATTTGTACATGTTAAAATCGTATCATGTTTCTTCATAAAGATACAGTTAAAACATGACCTGATATATTCTCCAATCACACAATATCAGATCTCATTGTATTGTTTTTTTGCTTAATTGTGGGTTCTATTCCCAATAATTTAAAACTAGTGCCCAGTGAATTTTTACTCTCTCGTCTGATTTATCAAATGCAAATTCAAACTAAATATAATTACATGCCTTGGTAATATGATGATCAAAGGGAGCAGTCAAATAGCACTCTTATACCAATGTTCCTTTTGTAATAAACCAAAAAACAAACACACCTCTTGCAAATATGTCAAGTAGCTTTAGTAAAGCATAAATGCTTTGTACAATTAGATTAGTGTTGAACTGGCATAAGGAAATTTGTGATGTTGTAAAGTTTCAGATAACTGTAATATACAGTTGAATGCAGTTAATGCATTTGAAGAAATAAAATAAAAAAAAAACGAAATAAAATAATGTTTGCCATATTAGCAACAATTTGAATGATACATTTTGAAAGGGAGCTAGAAAGGTAGGAAATTGAAAAAAAATTACTCCCTGTATCCCAAAATTATTGTACAGTTTGAGATTTCACTTTTAGTACAATTTGAACTAAAAATGAAATCCAAACTGGACAATAATTATGGGACGGAGGGAGTCAATATTTATCACAAGGAGTAGTTGAATGTTGACTTCACCAGTCATTCTAATTGCAAATACATTGAAAAAATGGTTGTCCATACAATTAAGAATCGCCATAAATAAAACCACCAAAACATGATTGAGTTCTCTATTATACTACATGTTGTTGAAATCTAAGATGAGTCTTCCAATCTCCATTGAAATCATTTATGTTTTACTCTTTTCATCATCATTTTACCAGATTCATTCGGCTCAAACTCTTGCAGATCCAAACAAGCCATCGGAAGTATACATAGCGAACGACCTCCCAACAAATCCAGATCCATTGAAGGTTCATTGCGTATCTCTTAGTGCCGATCAAGGAGAAAAATACCTAAAAGTGGGTGAAAATATTACATGGACGGCAGGGATTGGCCTGTCACATACATACATTTGTGAATTTTTTTGGCAAAGTAATTACAGAATGTTCCCAGCTTTGAATTCTACCATCATAACCAATATATGTGGTGAAGATCAGAATGTTAACATATGTTATTGGTCTGTGAGGGATCTTGGTTTCTTTTTTGGTACTACGCGCTCCCCTCGTGAAGATGATTTGTTTTACATAACGAGTTGGTAAAAGTTTTATCAACCATGTATAATTGAATGATGTACTCCTCTCTCATCCCGGGAGAAAAACATGAGTCTCATTTATTGTACTATTTTAATTCATCTACATGATTTTTTTATTTATTTATTTTTTTGAAACAGAAGAAGTGTTCATTGTTAGTTTTGAATCTAATATGAAAATTATTTGAATAACGATTTTTTGACAGTATTATTAGAGAAAAATATAATATTAAAAATGTGAATTCAAACAAGATAATCATTTGGAAGAGAGGGAATAGTAGATTTGAAGGAGCAAAGTGCACACAATGATCGTCCGACTCCACACACCTACAATCCTCTTTATAGTACTCAACCAAAAAAAAAAAGAAAAAGAAAAGAAAAGTGCAAAAAAACGCAGAAAGTCATAATTTGACTGAATTGGAGCGAATGTTCTATTAAAAAAATTAGAATACAAATAATGTGGAGACAAGTGCGTACACAAGCCAAATCACAGTTCCGATGTGAGAGAATTGGTGAATTGTTAGGGATTTAGGTTGGGAAATGGCTACTATCAAGATATTTTTGTAATTTGATTTTTGTAAATAATCATTCAAGCATTAATCAGAAACCGATCATCCTTGTTGCCATCACTTACGCAAATAAGCATTTGAATTCTTCATCAATCTACGATCATGAATATTTACTTGTGGTTACTTTTTCTAGTTTGCTACTTTCTCTGTAGGCAAATAATCATTTGAATTATTCTTTTTTTTTTATTTTGTCAATAGAACCTGATTAGTATTGTTGGTTGCCATCACTTAGAGCTTTCTTTTTATATTAAGGCTTTAAAAAATACAGTTCTCTACAAATATATACACTTTTTTTTATTTTATCTTTTCCCTCTTTTTTTTTTTTGGGAACTACAATTTTATAACAGCTAATTCATGATTCCATGGTGAAACACAATAAATCTTAAACTCACATCCAATTTAAGAGTGTGAAGTCAAGGCACTTGACAAAGAAAATCATGTCTACATATACAACATTGCTAAGAAAGATGTCTTACAAGCTTTATACAGTTGAAAAAGTGTCTCACTATTTAATCCATCTGTAAGAACAAGAGAAAATATATACAGTATATTACACAAAGAAGATGCACAAATTAGTGAAGGCGAAGGCTACAAAAAATGATAATGCAATCATTCTTTTCCTTGCCTGGGGTTTGGAAGCGAAAGGGGTAACCACCAACAGTGGCAGAGCCAGAAATCTCATATAGGAGGGGCAAAATGATACTTTTTTATGTAACAGGGGTAAAATTATAATTTTAAACATTTTAAACTAAAAAAATGAATCCTTACTTAATAATGATTTGGGGGGAAGGGGCGACTGGCACTGCTGATCCCCCTGTCTCCGCCACTGACCACCAAGAGTCCTATAGACGAGTCTAATTCACTTATGTTTGATTATTGGTTTTATACTTCTTTCGTCTCAAAATAATTGTTTAATTTAAGAGTTTACTTTTTTTTTATATAAATTATACTAAAAATAAAAATATAAACTGGACAATCTTTTCATAATGAAAAGAGTAGTGTAATTTAACTTAATTTCTTTCTGGATCAATTAAAAAGTGCCCTTGTTTAGAAACTTCAACCCAGCCTTTGTTGAGTTTGTACAGCATACTTAAGTTTTCTGAAGCGATTAAATTTTATGGATGCATAAGAATTCTGTTAAATATATATATTTTTCGGAAATGGCTCAAATATTAACAATTTATAGTGAAATGATGTAGTGATGGTTAATTCCAACAATTTATAAAGTGACCATTTTACCTCAAAAAATGGTAACAAGGTCCATATTTAGATAACAAAAAATGATAACAAAATCTTGCATCAACAATCCAATAATTGTGCGATAAAGGCCAATTGCTTATTGCAGTTCAAGTTACCAAAACGCAAGATTAAATGATTGACCATAATTTATTGGGTCCAAATATTTTTCTCATTTTTCCACCAACCTTTTCACCTATAAAAAGTCATGATTTCTAACTAGCAATTATAGAAACTCATGGGGTCACACCTCAAAACTAATTGACAATAAGGGGAGTAACATATATACTTATATATTGATATCAAATCTCTCCCACCACCGATGTGGAATACTCACCTCAAAACAAATTGGCAATGAGGAGAGTAGCCCATACACTTATATATTGATATCAACTCTCTCCCGCAACAAATTGATAATGAGGGGAGTAACTCATACACTTATATATTGATATCAACTCTCTCACACTATTGATGTGGGATACTCAACTCTCCTCCGCAAGTCAAACGTATCTTCTTGGGTTGGGCTTGTCTATTTTTTTTTCAGCCCAGTCACCGCCTCACGTCTCAGCCCTACCATCCAACGTATCTTCTTGGGTTGGGCTTGTTTATTTTTTTTCAGCCCAGTCACCGCCTCACGTCTCAGCCCTACTAGTTTTATCACATCAGGCTTGGAGTCTGACTCTTAGCGGGCTGGCTTTGATACCATATAAAAGCCCATGGGGTTCCATCTCAAAACCAATTGACAATAAGAGCAGTAGCCCATAGACTTATATATTGATATCAAGTCTCTCCCACCATTGATATGAGATACTCAACAGCAACAACTGCAATTTGGCTTCACCGTGCCTTTGAAATCAATCAAAATCGAAGATGAGTCCTCTGACCATCTCCATCGAAATCAGTTTATGTTTTACACTTTTCATCATCATTTTACCAGATTCATTCGGCTCAAAAACTCATGCAGATCCAAACCAGCCATCTGATGTATACATAGCTAATGGTGACGATCGAGGAGAGAAATACCTAAAAGTTGGTGAAAAAATTAGCTGTACAGCGGAGACTGGCCTCTCTAATATATACGTTTTGTGAATTTTTTTGGGGAAATAAATACAGAATATTCCCAGCGTTGAATTCTACCATCATCACCAACATATGCGGTCAGGATCAAAATGTTAACATATGTTATTGGTCTGTTAGAGATCTTGGTTTCATTTTTAGTACTACGCGTTCCCCTCCTAAAGCAGATTTATTTATTATAACGGGCTGGTAAAAAACATTTCACCATAATTGAAATGCATTTCTTTCCCCCGAAAAAAAAAAAAATCATACTTATTGTATCGTTTTTAATTCAACAAATACATATATAATTATTTTTTAAGAACATAGGATAATACTCATTTATCCTGTGTTAAGTTCCTAATATGAAAACTGTTGATGATGTTATTTTTAATACTGTTCTGGAAGTACTGTATACTCCATCGTTATCAAAATGGTTGTTCAGTTAGGATTTTTATTATTTATTTCAAATTATACTAAATGTGAAAATCCAAACTGGACAATCACTTTGCGAGAGAAGGAGCACATTAATTTAAAGGAAAAAGTTAAGGGCTAAAGCTCTAATTCTCTTTATCATACCCCTGAAATTGAACATACAGTAATTCAGATAGTTGACTGAATTGGTGCCACGGGCTGTAAATAAATTTTATACACGGGGAACATATGTAGACGCCATTCATGTACAAACCAAATAGTTTCGTGATTGGGGAAGGATTGGTGAAATAGTTAGGATTCAAGTTATCATACTATAGTTATCATGAGTTCTAGAGTTGCATCCCTTTTAGACCAATTCATTGTTTCTTTGTAAAAACAAACTCAGATTCGATAAATCAAGCCCTTATTGTTTTATTAGTATCCAGTATGACCAAAATCTCTGTTTTCAAAATGAAC